GTCTCCTTGTCCTTGGACCTCTTTCACAAATACATTGACATTTCATTCTAACCGATATATAATCTCTGAATAACTAAGAGCTTCTAGATGCCATTGATTTTCGCGTTATCTAGTAACACCACTGCGAAAAAAAAGGTGCTTACCTCGATTAGTGATAAAGAGAATACGGCTACTAAAGGAATTTACCATACCAACAATACCTTCGAATCCCACAGAAGCACAGATCTAGGAAGGTGTCCAATTATTCAAATAGCCACTCGCTAGTGATGCCACTTTCAGATACGATGTTCACATCGACATTCAATGGCATAACGCTACGGACGAGGAAAGAAAAACATAGAAACAAACCAAAAACGTAGAGAAAAAGCATGAGACGTGTATGACTGGACTGCTTCAAACAAGGATATACATTCGCTTAACACAGAAAATCTTCGATGAAGACCTTAAAAGAGATTTCCGCTCTTGATCAAAGATTAACCGATTACGAATTAATTTGTTTTGAAGCCAAAAATGACCGATTAGGTGATGACGTTGATGAGGAAATTATTTGGGGAGAAAGATAAATCGACGCAGTTCGTCGACGATGTTAAGGCGCACTAAGAACTAGCGCGTGAAACCGAGAAACGACCAAAAAGAAAAACAGAAAAAGAGTTCGAAGCCGATTTGCGGGGCAGCGGTTTTTTCATGCCATATGTCGGATAGAATGAAAGATTGAACAAGGACAGACATTCACCACTATCTGTGGAATAAGGAGGGAGACAAAGGAGGGAGGGATTGAAGAAGGGAATCCCTGACAAAAGACGACAATCTCTGCAAATGACGACCAGAGTTCGAAGTTTGAGGAAAACGACGGCGAAAAAAATAGAGAATGATAAGAATCGCGCCATCTACGAGAAATGGAAGACAGGATAACATGTCAGCAATGATTTTAGACACCGTAGATGGAATGCGATCCAAGCTAGAATTAGAAGCATTTTAGAGGTTAAAAATGGAATTCGACTTAAACTACGATTGGAAGCTTTTTAGAGATCAAAAACTCCAAACTGAGATTAGGAGTGTCATTTTATCGGACGAGACAGATTCAGATTAGTATCATTTATAGATAGACAGAGATACAGATGGATAAATAACAACAAATAATGATTTTCGAACGATAAGCACCGCATTTTTTGAGCATACACCAGACTATGAGCCTATTTCGAAGGCACATACTGGAGAATCAATCGTGCAACGAACACTTAGGTAACTACTGATCGTCTAAACAGACATGTTCTACTTGTCTCTTTTTTTTTACTTCTAAGTAATTCTTCAGTTCTATGTCCGATGACGTAAACTAACGACTGCGACAGATGTACGAACATGTTACTAAGAAACTAATCCTTGTCAGAGTAAGCTAAAAAAAATCTTTTCTATTTTACAAATCATTTAGTATCGTTGTAATATATAGGTTTAAACTTGAAATTTCACTATTACTAGTAGGGAAGCTCCACAAGAAGTGAAATCCGGAAATCCAGAAATCCAAAGAACAAATTGTCTAGCGTGTGACATAAAACACCTGTTCGCACGAACAGCGCGTATCTATGGCATCGCAGATTATTTTTCTTAATCCATTGGCTGACATTTCTTACTTTAAAACCCATGGCAGCTGAAATTCGTCCGAGTTAAACTTTATGAATATCTAATAACATCAGGCCTATAAACATTTCAAACATGACGATCATACAAGAATTAGATGACGAGGCACTTGAGAAGTACAAGGCCATCCTCCAAATGAACATGGAAGATATGAGCCCCGGTTTTATAGAGGAAGCACTTCGACAGTTGACGAGCTGACGATGAACAGCGATCTATGGACGACCATTTGTGCGACGAGTTAACTGGGAAAATTTTCACTTGTACGAGAAGCGTCGAAACAGCTGTGAGTTTTTGAGGAATAGGTATCGTCGACGTTTCTCCGATGAGTACTCACGACAAAATAACAACACAACCACCACCAGCCCCCTATGACTCTCTTCATATCCGCGTTAATCGATAGATGAGTAAACATTTTAGTGATTCAGACATGATAAGTGATGGATTTATGAGTGAGTGAGTGAGTGAGTAAGTAGCAGTGAAGCCAAACGAGACTTAGCAAATCTCATCATGGAATGAAAGGATTATGTAAAAGAGGGGGGACAGGGAAGGTGGGGATTACTACACATAAACATCATGTACATCCGATCCGGAAATCTCTAATGACTCCATACGGTACCGTAGAGCTTCAGAAGACCGACTTTCTATAGACATCAACATTAATAACTAGAATATATAAACCTCCAGGAATTATCTTGCCTATCCGATGGCGAGGTGGGTAATAGTAGTAGCACTAACAGTAGGAGTTCCTCTCAATTACCACCTCATCGTGGTTGGGAGGTGGTCCTGGGTGTCGGACTGCGAAGTATAGCAGGGAGTTCACCCCCTCCCCCACCGCAGGGCCACCTAAGCTGAGAAGGAGCTTGATGTTTCCGTTAGAAAAGCCCATGTGAGAGTAAACCGTACCGGGAATGAACGCCATCTTGATAGCTACTACTCGCAAAATGATAGTTAACCTCTGATCCACAAGGGCCGGCGACTGTTCCGATGTGGCGACAATGTGAGAAAACCTCGCCTGGCTTACCTTGGGACTCCAGGGGACAAAACAGCTAAATCAGCCCCGTTTCCCCGCGCTGAGACTCGCTTAATTCGTGATGACAGACCGCTCAAGTATCCAAGCAAGTATCAGTTGAATAGGTAACGTTTCGGTGACTACACCTTCATCAGAGCCTGGACGCATGTCTCCTACTCCTTACTACTCAATCCTTTAGGGAAGGCACTTGATCGATCGCACGTCGCAACTCGAACGAGGCGCGCGATTTTCGTTCTTCAATTAGGGTTTTCCCCCCATTTGGGAAGAAAATACTCAGATTTTTCCTGTTAGTCTGATACTCGATGATTTTCTCTACATCGTCATATGTTTGTTGTGCACACATAACCTTTCTGTACAATAAAAACTCTAAGTGTAAAACACAACCCTTTTTTTTCTTATGCTTTTACACCGTTCCACGATAACCTTTCTTGACGATAAATTTTCGAAAAACCATTTACAGCGTCAACATCCTCGATATTTGTGCTGTCGAATGACTAAAAAGAGTTTGGCGAAGAGCCATATACAAACCTCTGCCAAGCAAATAAAGCAAACTGAGTATGGAACATGATTTTATTTTCGCTGTTACAAAGCGATAAAAAGACTTCCAAAAAATCAAAGAAATTGTAAAAATTACAGAAACTTAAGCTTTCGAATGACTACCAAGTGTCTACGTGAACATTTTTGTCCAGCGAGAAAGGCCTCTAAACAATCGTGTACCTCATCTGGTACACGTCGTCTTTTAAGAGTTAAGATTTATACTTAGTTGAAATATCCGTACAGCTACGTCTAGGTTCTGAAGAAGGCCAATGCACGAAATAGTCAGCCATCGAACTGCTACTCTTACAAGTACTACAACCGCTACTACTACTACCGACCCCGACCTCGACCCCGACCTCGACCCCGACCCCACCCTGACTCCGCCACCTGCTGAGTAAGGGTTTCCGGACGTATAGATTCAGTCCCAATCAGATTTATAGTCAACAAGAATCAAAAACATAAAGAAAACCCGTGACGCTTAAAAAATAAATACAAAAAACTGTTGTTGTAAGATATCGTCGAGATAACAAATTATGAGAGACACATGACGCGAACGGGACGACACATTGAAACGACGACGAAGACCACATACAATCCGAGAAACCGGTAATTTCTGGAGACATTATCAAGCTGCCTATTGTTCCCGCTGTCTCTGTTATAGAAGAAGACAATTTATTGTGAAAAAAGAAGGAAAAAACACACATGCACGCAAATTTCCGAGAAGCAAAAAATCGATAAAAATTGCTACTGCAATCGTTAGTGCAAAATTAGAAAAAAATCACTAGTTATCAACGAAAAATTCGTACAAAACTCGTAAATATTTTCAAAAATGATAGAAAAAATCTGTAGACAAGACGATTGCGTTGCAAAGTCCACCTGGGCCTTAAGCTTAGATTCATAATTGCCCTTAAAAACGATCTTCACCTCAAAAATAAACAAAAATATGGGAAAAAATAAGGAGAAAAACAAGGAGAGAGCGGTCACCGGCATCAAACCCCGCTTCTTCCAGGAAAAAAAAATTCGTAAATCGCGTAAATTCAAATACAGTATTCAGATTTTCCGCACAGGAGCCATTTAGAAAAGTAAGATTTTAGCAATAGAGCGCATTATCGACTATTAGTACTCAAGACCGACATTCCATTAACCTTGGCATAGATCAAATAGTCCGGGATTTTTTCTTGATGGCCAGATAGGAGGCTGTGTATAGTAGTATTTCTCAAGTCTTCCAACTAATCATTGAATACAAGTGGGCTTCAGGGTCTTCTATCGAGTAAGAATGTGTCTGACCCAGGTATTATTGTATTTATTTAAATACTATTACTGACTAGCTCAGTCCGCTTATTAAGAAAATATAATGAGTGATGTGCAAAACTCATGTGTCAGGCGGGACTCGAACCCGCGTCTCACTCCATCCGGCAACGCGTGCCCTAGCCCGTTGCACTACTGACGCTCATTTTGCCCACCACTCTTTCTACACTATAGCGCATCTGTCTGTCAGCAATCACCCATCAACAGTTTGACCCCAGGTAATCGATATCGACATTGAACCCCGGTCAAGCTACAGATTTTCGCTATTGGATGATCGAAAAGAATTTTATTTAGGCCGTTTTTGGCAGTAATGTAGTGATATGGATATACCGAGTGATGTAGAGTGATTTCTATTTGATCATCCAATACCCAATACCTGTAAGTGTGACTGAGTTCAATGCCGATATCGAGTACCTGGGGCCGAATCGTTGACGGGTGGTTGCTGACACATAGATGAGTTGTAGCGTCAAAAGAGTGCTGGGTAACATGGACGCCGGTAGTGCAACGGGTTAGAGAATGCGCCCCTGGATAGAGTGAAATGCGGGTTCGAATCCCCGCCTGGCGCGGTTTTGCATATCACTCCACATCACTGGGTATATGCATAACATCATGCCACCGCTAAAAGTTGGTTGAATGAAATAAAATTTATCTCAAAGGTTCTGCATTCACTCCATCGTCATTGTTTCCTGGAATGGACATATTGTTGAGCAAAACCACGGCCTCAGGCGGGAATGGAACCCGCGTTTCATCCATACCGGAGACGCGTGTTATACCACTAATCCACCAAGGCACATTTGAGTCTATAGCTAACATAGAGATGTTGAAGAACGAGTGGTGACTCAAACGTGCCTCGGTGGTGTAGTGGTAGAGCACGTGTCCCCGGATAGGATGAAGCGCGGTTCGATTCCCGGCTGAGGCCGCGTTTTTGCTCACCACTCAATTCTCTTTGTTGTATATGTAACGAAAAAATCAGTAAAAATACTCGAATTTTGAAGCATGTTGTTATAGGAAAAGGCACTATTTCAAGTTTGAAAGAACATTTTATGTCAAAAATTTCCTCTATAAATAAGTAGTATATGAGCATGAGATAATTTTCTCTAGGTGAAGGTAGAGCTCATGTAAACAACTGCTCCTAAATCATCACAACTTTCACTTGTTTACAAATTTACTCACTGTGATTACGATATCACTTACAAATGCTTTAGCTTATCGTGGCTGGAAGGTGTTCCTGTGTGTTGGGCTGCAAAATACAGCGAGGGGTTCAGTTGCCCAATGGGGCCAACCAAGCTGAGAATGAGTCTGTTTGAACACGGAAAGCCAGCTTGGAGTAAACTGTACCTGGAATGGCCGCCATTTTGATAGCTATCAGACGCAACGTACTAATCTCCCTCTGATTTATGAGGGCAGGCGGGTGCTCTAATCTTATCTAACCTTGGCAATCTCCAGGTAACCTTATCTCGGGAGTCCAGGGAACAAATCAGCTAACCCAGCACATTTACCAGTGCTGAGCCCGCCACTATCAGTGAAGACGGGCAGTCTAAGAAATAAGATTGCGGTAACTACCAATCATCTATAGAGCCGTAGATCGAAAACCTCGAAAAATTTTGTAAATTTGGAACCACATCCTCACATTTCCATCTTCCCCTCTGAATAAGTGTTTGTTTCCGAGAGGTTTCTCTTGGGAGAGGGAAGGGAGGTGGGGGAGAGATTGTCAGATTGTCACCCATGACAGAATTACTTTATAACGTTGTAGATCCTTTTTACAACTAATTTTGTAAAGTAACTCTATGACAAAGCAGTAATTGAAAAGGATGACGTAGGTTTTTCCATGCCCGATATCAATTATTGGTATTAGATGAGCTTCAAGAAGAGTATATATCTCGATAATCAAGTATTTACCTTATTTGGCGAATCATTTACACTTTAGCAGTGATAAAGAATTCGTAGATCTTTTTGATGAAAAGCAAAGAGCGGTAAATTTCACAGATCTCTTTTGATAAAGGACAGACGTGGAAGATAGAGATATAAAGCTGAGATGAGCGCGTATGGCGCAGTCATTAGAGGCGCACTGCGACACCCGCGTTTTCAATGCTTCGATCCTGCCCTCCAAGATCATCAAGCTTCCCATCCCTTCATTGAAAACGAATCGACATCAGAGTTGTCAGCAGGGTGGTGATAATGACCTAGTACACTGGTAGACCGTCGACAGTCATTGTAAAGTTCAAGCATACATTCACTCACCTTATCTGTGATTCTTGATAAAATCGATGTATGACGCATTTCTCAGTGACTGGCCCACGTCGAGAGCTTTATCCTTTGATTCAATAAGCAGCTGGGAATATACACGTAATGGTTTGTTCGTCTCCTTTACGAGGCTTATCAAGCGTAGTGGTTCAGCGACAAATGTGATAGTATTTCTTCGATTAGGTCCGACGGAATGCAGTAGCTTGAAACAATTGTCGGATCCGAACAGTTACTAAATTAAGTTTAAAGCTGCCACTGGGTATGCCACATGGGTCCTTTCAAAGCATTCACAGAGCAACTTCTTGATGTTCGAGACACTCAGTTAATATTCTTCCAAAGTCACAAGTGCAGTAGGAAAGTAGGAATACAGAAATATGATTAATACAGAGCTATTCACTGCAAAATGGTGAACTGAGCCATCGTGATCTTCCAGAATAGAGGGCAAAATGAACCGCTCTAGGAGAGACCAGAAACGGAACACTGACCTTCTGACAAAAACGTGTCTTTAAAGCTATGAATGTGGAAATGCAAATGTTCACATATAAGGCAAAATTTAGAGTCTTTTTCAGCCACGGAGTTTTTCTATGTGTACACGTGCAGGGACAGAAGAATGTGATATGCTTAATTTTGTGGAATTGCATTTGTGCATTGGAAATTTTGCGGCTGACAGCTGCCTGTACACGAATGAGATCTGCCTTATAGGGGTAAGGAGACACGTTTTGTTGATAACACATGATTTTGTGTTGTCACCATTTTTTTAGTCATTGGCCTACGGCTGGTAGTGAATATGTAGACATCCTTCTAATCGACTGTTTTAAACCTAGCTATAAACATTCAATATAACTATAAGAATGTCTAAAGCTTGTTCGAGGTTGGTACATCTGTGGCAATGCACAATATCATATGCTATCATCAAGCCGTTTCCCCATCTTTGCGAGAAAGTAGGGTTGATTGTATGGTGTGTGGCTCTTAGTGAAGCGGGCGATACCGTCGAAACGTATGTATGGCACTGATGTATCAACCTCGAAAAGGCTTCAAAGATTCTCACAAAGTCTACTGAATGTTTTATCGGGGTTTTAAAAACGATAGACTGTAAAGCTAAAACGGTAAATATTGCACACATCTGCTGATCATAATGAGCGCGTGTAGCATAAAAGTTAGAGACACGCTTCATTGGACAAATGTTCGTTGTTTCAGATCGCGTCTTAAGCCTTCCAGCCCTCCAGATTTGGTGAAATAGTGCCACACTTTTCTGGGGGGATAACGGCATTGTAAAAATGCATGGATTGGTCACATCATTTCATTGCAGTAATCAGATACAAATTTACTCACCCGTTAACGATGCCTGATGAAGCCAATGTATGGCGCATTCCACAGGGATTGATTAATGCCGAAGTATTACTCTTTCATTCTTCCACTTAACAAAATGTCACAATTTTTAAAATATTATTTGAAATGCCGTGCACTATCAGATATAGAATGATGGGAGCAAACAGCTTTCCACATATTGATTTCGACTTAGCACTTACTGTGTACATGTCTCAGAATGTGAACATTGATAATGTCGCTGAGTATGTACAACAAAATGTACTCGAACTTTTCAACATAGCGTGAGATGTTGATGACACATCCGTCTATGTAGAGAGATTAGTTTGCGAGTTCATCACTGAGTAAATATATCGATATCACATTCGGTCTGCGTCAGTCATTGTGGTTTCTCAAACCCTCGTCCCACTGGAATACCACATGCGACCGACACTTCATCATTCTCTTTCTCTACTTGCTCAGGTAAAAACAACGCAAGTTGTTTCTAAGACAGTTAGCAAGAAACCACAACAAGAATGGTTTTTGGCGGTGCTGCAGCGTTTCATTGCACATTGCCATTAGTTTTTTCGCAAGCTGTTGAGAAGAAATAAAAGTCGTACTTCAAGCAGTTTTTGGAAGCCTATATTCGCATAATTCTCTAGTCATTGTGGCTTAGGTCGAGGATCTTCAGTTATACTGTGCTTTTGGTTGGCCCAGAAATCTTTCCATCATCGGAGAGTGCAGCATGTAAATGATTTTCCCCGTTTCCTTTCGTTTTCTCCTTATTATAGAATTCTGTAGGAAATTTTCCGCTGAAATATTTTTTTATACATCACCAGTCATCACATTTAGCGTGCCGAACCGAGCATCTCTTGAGTCTAATTCGTTTCCTCGCCTTCACACTCCAGAAGAAGCTTCAAACATTTCAGGTGTTGCTGCGGCTTGCTTGAAGATTTTGTTTTCTTCATGATTACCGTACAATGCCTTTCAAGGCGATCTCCTTACAATCTTAGTTGTAGCCAAGCCGCGCTCTTGAGCGTTCACTTTATTCAGCGCAGAATTAAGTTTGGACAAGAGCAAACCAGGGCTTTTGTAATTCATATGCTATATCATTAACCACCACGCTATCCCGACTTCTGAAAACTTGTTTTCCTCCCTGAATATAAGAAGTGAAGAACGAAATCACTAGTAGTAACCAATAATTGAGTATAGTGCGTAGTAAAGTCATTGTAGAATGTGATCTTTATCTCTACTTTCTCAATCCGTTTCATATATTAAGATTCGTTACCTTACTGTATTATGCCGATCATTTTCCTAATATTTCTTATTTTAATCAGTATTTTTTCTTCTGTAAGACACCTCTCTTGTACTCCTGCTTACCATTTGTGAACGTGACTCTCCAAGAGGAAATCTAGTTTTTAGATATCAATACAGTTGTAGCTCATTTATTCAGAGATTATGGATCTGTGTGAAAGTTTACGGCGATCAGCCGTTAGCATAAAATTGTATCGCTCTTTAGAAGAGAACTAGAATATGTAAATTTGTTTATCATGCTTCTAGTGCAAAAAGTGCTCCGTTTGACGTCGTCGTTTTACGTTCCCTAATTTGTAAACGTACCTCGCGTAGAATATTGCGCATGTGCATACTGAAACACGGTCCTTTAAAATAATTTTTGAGCCTTTTTTATTTTGTGAGCCGAAAAGCAGAACGATAATCTTAAGAATCAGTTTGCCGTATCAAAAATCTCTAATGATTGTACCGTTTGTTTCGAGTGTCTTCTCATGGAATACTGTAAAAATACAGGTCTAAAGCATTCGAGTGTCAGGCACTGCCGATCTAGTGATTTATTTCACGTGACGGCACGTCTACATCGTACGTCGTCGCCTACACTGTTCAGGGCGATGGAGCATCTGCGAGAGGATTGGCTAAAGACGAAGGACCTGCCCGACTGACGAGGCTGCAAAGCCGAAAGGGTGTATCAGGCTGTACAAGAGCACATAACAGAACACATGACATGCTGGCTCGAATAATAATTATGAGATATGTCCAATGATTTTCGAATTAATGTTGATTTTAAAACGATTCTATGATTGGAGAGTACGTTGTAGGACGAGCAACACATGAACCACGCTCTATAGTTCTGCATGGTAAGCTGCATTATTTTTCGGAAAGTTTTTCTGTAAATGTATAATAGATTTCCTACATGTGTCGCGTGGATCACATTCCAGCTCACTCAATTCG